AGCAGAGCACAGCATAGCCGAGCGGAGCATAGCATAGCGCAGCATCGCATATCATAGCATGGGTAGGGGGTTAGCTTAGCTTAATTTAGCTTAGTTTAACTTAGTGTTAGTTCTACGACTGACTCTATCACTACTAAGCCTACGACTACTACTCGGGCTACTACTATTAGTATTACCGCTACTACTCCTACTTCTACCACTACTACTACTACTACTACTACCACTACTACTACTACTACTACTACTACTACTACTACTACTACTACTACTACTACTACGACTACGACTACTACTACTACTTCTACTTCTACTTCTACGTCTACTACTACTGCGATGACTACTACTTCTCCTGCTTCTACTAAAATTACAAACATACATCGTATTACATCTATGGCGACTACTACTACTACTACTACTACTACTACTACTACTACTACTACTACTACTACTACTACTACGACTACTACTACTACTACTACTACTACTACTACTACTACTACTACTACTACTACTACTACTACTACTACTACTACTACTACTACTACTACTACTACTACTACTACTACTACTACTACTACTACTACTACTACTACTGCTACTACCATTAAAACGAAGAAGAAGAAGCGACGACAACGACTCCTATTATTTCTAGTACTACTATTACTACTACTACTACTACTACTACTACTACTACTACTACTACTACTACTACAACAACTACTACTACTACTACTACTACTACTACTACTACTACTACCACAACTACTGTGACAACTATTTCTATTACTGTTTACGATTACTCGTACCACTGCTCCAACTACTAATTCCACCACTCCCAGTACTGCGAGTAGTAGACGTACTACTACTGCTATTACTTTTACGACTACTACCATTACTATTACGATTACTATTACGACTAAGGCGACGAATATTGCTACTACTACTGCTACTGCTACTGCTACTGCTACTGCTACTACTACTACTACTACTACTACTACTACTACTACTGCTACTGCTACTGCTACTGCTACTGCTACTGCTACTGCTACTACTACTACTACTACTACTACTACTACTACTACTACTACTACTACTACTACTATTTCCGTACCTAGACTCTGCCTAGAAGGGTTCGTACCCTGTAAGCTTAGGGGCCGGGCAGTGTTCCCCGCCCCGGGCGGTTCCCCCAGGATCCGCCCCGCGGTTCCCCCAGTTACGCCCCCTTAGTTTAGCGTTGCTTATCTCATCTTAGCTTAGCTTAGCTTAGCTTAGCTTAGTTTCATCCTAGCTTCGCTTAGCTGTAGCTTAGCTTAGCTTAGCTTTAGCTTAGCTTAGCTTAGCCTAGCTTAGCCTAGCCTAGCCTAGCCTAGCTTAGCTTAGCTTAGCCTAGCCTAGCCTAGTTTGGTTTAGCTTAGCTTAGCTCAGCTTAGCTTAGCGCACCGCAGAATTAGCATAACATTGCATCGCATATCATAGCGCAGCATAGCATAGCATAGCATAGCTTAGCTTAGCAGATGCAGGTGTATATGTTAATGTAGTTGTCGGTGTAGATGAAATTGTTGCTTTCCTAGATGCTCCAACTCCTAGGTAGGGTCGCACTGGGATGAATTGACAATGTTTGAATGTGTTGGGAACATGTGTGAGGTATTTGAATTGTTCGTCCACAACCCCTCTGTAGGGGGCCCGACTTAAGGCTAGGCTCAGGCGCCGCCAGGGAGGGGGTCCAGCGCGGATCCGAGAAATCCACGCGGACCTCCGAGCTGTTATGTGTATGGCATTCTTCGTTCCCCTAGGCAAGCGCGTTCCACTGCTCGCAAAGAACCTGCTCGCAGAGTACCAACGCTCGGGGAGGAGGAGCGGGAGGAGGAGGAGGGGGAGGAGGGAGGAGGAGGGGGGAGGAGGAGGGGGAAGGAGGAGGGAGGGGAGGGAGGGGAGAGAAGGGGGGGAGGATGAGGAGGAGGGAGAGGAGGAGGGGAGAGGAGGAGGAAGAGGAAGAAGAGGAGGAGGAGAGGAGGAGGAGGGGGAAGAGGAGGAGGAGGAGGAAGAAGCAGGAGGAGGAGGGAGGAGGAGGGAGGAGGAGGAGGAGGAGGGGGGGGACGGGGGGGGGGAGAGCGCCAGAAGCGGGAGGCCACGGGGCTGCGGCGGGTGGTGGGCGCTGGGGAGTGGCCCCACCCTCCTCCCTCTCTCCTCCTCCTCCTCCTCCTCCTCCTCCTCCCTCCTTCCTCCCCTCCTCCTCCTTTGCCTCCTCCTCCTCCTCCTCCTCCTCCTTCTCCTCCTCCTCCTCCTCCTCTTCCTCTTCCTCTTCCTCTTCCTCCTCCTCCTCCGCCTCCTCCTCCTCCTCCTCCTCCCTCCTCCGCGGCGGCGTCTGGCGCTCGGAGGCGACGCGTGGGCGCCTCCCGCCGGTCCCTGCGCACTGGTCCACTGCGCGAGTCGCCTGCCGTTCTCTCGCCGCTCTGCGCGGCTCGCCTCGGCTCGCCCCCCAGCTCCTGGGGGAGCCCGGGCCCCGGCGTGGTCGCGGTCGTCACACGCACGATTGCAGGGTACTCTGACCCGCCCGGTTCGTTTACGACCCGCCGTTGGCACAGCGCAGCGGAGGAAGAAAGATGAGGACGTCGTGCTGGAGGTGGGTGGTGGTAAAAGGGAGGCATCCTCGGACGTGGGCATCGACCTGGAATCGACACCACATCGCCAGCAGATGGGCGATAGGCTCCAGGAGTCTGTTTTTTTGTTATCCGCGATAACGGGCGAGGTCGGGGGGGGGGGGGCCCTGATCACATCACGGCGGGTTTCGGCCTCTGGAGCCTTTTTCGAGCCCCTGGGCCCTCGGGAGGAGGAAGATAAGGAAAAAGGGAGAGGGAGCAGAGGAGGAAGAGGGGATTGAGGAATTTCTGGGAACACCTTGAGATTTGGCTGCTGCTGCTGCCGCTGCTCCATTTCCTCCCCCTCCTCCTCCTCCTCCCCCTCCCCCTCCTCCTCCTCCTCCTCCTCCTCCTCCTCCTCCTCCTCCTCCTCCTTCTACTCCCCTCCTCCTCCTCCTCCTTCTACTCCTCCCCTCCCCTCCCCTCCTCTCCTCCTCCTCCTCCTCCTCCTCCTCCTCCTCCTCCTCCTGCTCCTCCTCCTCCTCCTCCTCCTCCTCCTCCTCCTCCTCCTCCTCCTCCTCCTCCTCCTCCTCCTCCTCCTCCTCCTCATCTCTCTTCTTCTCCGGTCGTCGTCTTCGCCGTCGTCCTCCGGAGGGAAGGAGTGGGGAGGATACTCAGGAATATGCTTGTGAACGTTCGGGGGGCGAGTGTCCATACGTATCCTTTGTGAGCGTTCGGAGAGCTCGCCTGTCTTACACATGATCGCGATGATGCTGCAAGTTCTTGCGCAGCTCTTCCCTTTCACGCGCTCCACGTTCATGTCAGGATAGGTTTGAGAAACGAGCAGTTCGCCTGAAACATCCTTGCCAAATCGTGAAGTTGGGGGTCGTGTCTTAAGACGTGTGTTGCTAAAATGGGCGTTTCGCCTGAAACATCCTCGGAAAATGGGGATGTTGAAATCGTTGGTCTATTTCGCGGACCTCCAAAAATGAACGGTTCGTCTGAGATATCATCGAAAACATGGGATGCGCCAAGAGCTCTTGTAAGGCATCTTTTCGGAGCGATCTCGGATGACCTCCAAGATGGCCCAAGAAGCGAACTGATTGAAAAACCATCGGTGTGTAACACTTTCTTTTAAGAATCAACGTTTCGCTCGAGACATCCCCGAAACAAATTCTTCGGACGGTCCCTCGAAACCATCTCGTTTCCTCCTCCTCCGCCTCCTCCTCCTCCTGGTCGCGGACAACAGCGACGACGACGAGACTCTCTGGAAACCCTGGATGATTCCTTGAGACGTGTGGGGAAGACAGCGCGACGTGATCGGGGGTAGGGGGGGGAGGGGCGGGGGCGATCGCGAGCGTGATCGCCAGGGCTAAAAAAAAAGAAAAGGTTCCAGGACAGCGATCGGCGGTGGAAAAACCTCCCTTTAAGAAACCTCCCCTTAGCGCAAACGGCCCGGGACCAAAACCAGCGCTCCTGCACCCGCAAACATGACGGCCGCGACGCCCTCTCGCGAAGCGAACACGGCCAATGCCTGGATCGGCGTGCCAGGGGCAGGAGGTCTGTCCAACTCCGAGGCGAGGCTTCCCGAGAAGAGGCCCCAGGACAGCGGAGCCGAGCGCGCCTGGGCAGGGCGGGACGCTCGGGCGCCCCTCTCGGCGCAAGCCCGGGCGGCGCACGGGCAGCGGCGTGCGGCGGCGAGGGCGGTGGGCTCGGCGGCGCGTGCCGTCGGCCTGGGCTGGGCAGGCCGCGCGAGAGGACACGAGACCCTGGCGAGGGCCACGTCGCCACAGGAGCGTAAGGAGGCACGTTGTCGCGAGTAGGGGGCCACGTGCGAACCCTGCCCCTGCCCCCCACGATCTCTCAGGGGGGGAGGGGAGGGTTCACTGGGCTCGGGAGCTCCCGAACGAAGTGAATCCCACCCTCCCCCTCAGAAATCGTGGGGGGTAGGGTTCGCGAGAGGACACAGATCCTTCCGAGGGCCACATCGCAATAGAAATGTGGATGCCACGACGGTGGACACCCTAACAGTCCTATCTTTGAATATAGGATGTGATCAAAATGTCGGAAAATAGTCCAAGCATGTATAACACATGTCTTTTGCATGGTTAAAACATGTTTTAGGCATCTGGAAATGATTTGGCAACATGCTTCCTCTCCATTGATCGGCCTCGACAACCATAGGAGTGTAAGAAGGCACGTGTCGCGAGGCCTGCCTAGGTCGACGCACCCGAAGAACCCAGACCCCGAAAAACTCAAGGCTGCGCTGCCACGCTTGATCCGCTGGCTGCACACGGAGCAGCTCGTCTCGGCAGGGGGCCGTCATCCCGGCTTCCGCCCGAGCCGCATGCGCCGAATGCGCCCCCCACCGAGATGGCAGGCAGGGTGCCACCACGACACCAGAGCACCATGATGCCTCCACTCCCACTTACTGTCTACATCGTCATTTTGGAAGGGGGGAGGGGGAACGGACACGTCCGCCCGACGATCTCGGAGAAAGGCTCCCGCCCCTTCACCCAGAACAGCGAAGCCCTAGAAAGAGAGAAAGCGGTGCGCGTCTGTGGCACTCTGCGCACCGAGGTGGCCTATCTTGTCGGCGCTCGGCGCCGTGAAGTCGTGGCCGCACTCCGAGAGGAACCTTGGGGCGGGATGGCACACAGAAGACGAGGGTGCCCGAGGAGGCCAGAATGGTGAGAGGTCTCCGGCCTGCCTGGAGCCTGGCTCAGCACTGACAGTGCCCTCTGGAGACAGCTGCAGCAGCCTGACACGGATCGGTGACCGATGCAAAGGAGATGCGGTCGGGCTCTGGTGTTCTGCCAGCCCTCTGCGATGCCATCGCCAATGCATTAGATGGTCAGATTTTGCAAGCGTGCTCCTCGCCGACACCCGGGCAAGAGGTAAGGTTAACGGTTCGCGCAAAGGGTACGCCCCACCAGGGGAAGCCTGACAAGTACTCCGCCGCCCCCCACGCTTGCATGGGGTGAAAAGGCATGTGAAACATTTGGCTGTCCCCCTCTGGCCATCGCTCGGACGTCCATTCCCTGTGCTTTTTCGGTTTCGTGCGTGGTTTTTCCGCCAAATGATCAAGGATGCTCCTCGATGGTCCTCGCCGAAGGAAAGATGCACACGTCCGAGCGATGCCAAGCCCTCCCCATCTCCCCCTCCCCGGATTCCGAAATCCCACTCTGGGAGGGTGGTGTTCGGGTGGGTGTTCGGGCTCCTGAGCACCCCCCTCTGGCCTCCAGAGCCTCCAAAGAGCTCCGAAAAAGCCCCCGAGAGCCCAAACGGCGGCGAGCATCGGCACAGCCCAAGGCAGTCTCACGAGGGCCCGAGATTCCTTCAAGACACCCCACAAAGCCCCCAAGACGGCCCAAGAATGCTCCCAGCGGGCCACAGGGAGGCCCCCAGAAGCAAACATCACCCAACTCCCTTGGGAAAACGTACATGTTCAGCACATACAATCGCTCGTTTAGTCTAATCAGCGCCCAAGACGGCTCAAGAAGCCCCCGAGGTTGCTCCAAGACGGCCCGAGCATCCCCCGAGAGGGCCCCATGACGGCCCGCGGGGGCCACAAGACGGCCCAAGAGGCGCCCGAGACTGCCCACGGGGGCCCCAACAGGGCTCAAGAGGGGCCGAAGAGGGGTGAGCGAACTTGAAATGTCTGAAAATCTTCGCCCCGAAAGGCCCCCCGAGATCGCGCAAGCAGGGAGGCTCGAAGAACCCCCCAAACGCCCCAAGGGACCCAAAGAGCCCCCCACGGAGACCCCAAACGGTCTCCAAGAGGCCCCTAAAAGCCGCACCGTGGACCTCTTCCCTCTTCTGGGTGATGGCGGAGCGGCGCAGGCCTCTAGTGTGAAAGCCTGCCTGGACGACAATCATGTCTACAATCGCCACGTCACCCGACTGTCCTGGTACACAAAAGCAGGGGCGTCAGAAGATTCCCCGGCATCCATGGGAACCTGCCCTGGGGATCCAGGACGTAACTCAAGAAGGGACGTTGTCCTCCCACAGAAGGAAGCCGCGCCAACAGAACCAACTCTTCACATGGCAACTGCGTCTTGCAACAGCTTGGCTACCGGAACGACTCCTCCATTTTTGCGCGAGCCGCGGACCCATATTCGCTCACCCAGCGGCGCTGACACACTGACGAAGACCCAACATACTTGTGATATCCGACCTCGGACGAGACCCTCTCGCCATGCGCGACCCAACAACCAAGCGAAAAGCAGTTTGGACTTGAATTACACACCTAGAGGCCTCCCCAATGGGGCCCGAGTAGATGGATCGGAGGAACGCGCCGCATTGCCAATACATCGCCGACGCGTCGGCGACGTCGGCGATGCATCGGCGAGGTCGGCGCAGAGAAAATTGAGCCACACATCGAACCGCACCGCCGATGCATCGGCGACACGGCGCGATCCTCCAACACCATCGACTCGGACCCCATGTGGAAGGCCTGGAATATCAGAGCTTTCAGCGCGTCATCGACAGGCCACGCCCACGTCCGCAGTGAGAGCCACCCTGACTCTACCGCACCTGAGCCCGCGACACGTCTTGGTGGAGCGGGTTGCCGTCCCTCTTGGTCGACCTCCTGAGCACGGGGATCTATATATATATATGTATATATACATATGTATATATATATATATGTACATATGTATATATATATATAGATATGTCATGCTGTGCACGCGTGCCGTTCGCATCACGGGCCAAGTGAGGAGAGACCGCGAACCAGCTCCACAACCCTAATCGCGAGGGGCAAAAGGCAATGCTGCACTATGCACCGCTGTGCCGCCCAAGCTGAAGCACCGACCCAAACGCACTGCCGTGAGACAGAATCGACGTAAGCACGGGGGAAAAAAAAACTACTCCCCGATCACCCCTGCTTCCCATCCTCTCTCGGTGTGGGCGGAGAGGTGGTTAAACAGAAGGGGAGGTCAAGAACTCAGCTGCTTGCAGCGGGCTCTCCCAGCGCCGGAGGCCGACGGGGGGCGAAACTGGCCGCACCCCACCGTGTACCGGGGAAAGTGCCGACGGGGGGCGAAACTGGCCGCGTGTAGCAGCTCCAGGAGCATATAATTTCCCGTCACCCCCCTTTTTCGTCCCCCCCCCCCCGATTATTCAACTACTCCTTGACACGGAAGGAAGAGGAGCCCTGTCGGAAGGGGGTCCTGGGCACCGTGTGACTTTCTTCCAGGTCCTGAATCGCTTCAGCCCTGGGGCTGCAGGGGGGAGGGCGAGTCAGCTCACGAGTGGCAGCAAACAACCTCCAGGACGCCCTTTCTGCAGGACTCTGTCCGCCCAAATGTGGTCGAAGTTGATGGGGTCTGGGGATCGCACCCCATCGACGATGAATCGTCGATGCATTGGCATTGTATCGGCGACGTCGACGCTACACACCACACCAACCTCACCAATGCACTGCACCGGCGACGCGGCGCGATCCACCGACCCCATCTACTTCGAGCCCATTGGGCGGCCTGGACCACCCTCTCTCGCCCTCCCAGTATTCCGCAGCTCATCCAGCCGCTCTTCGAAACCATGCTGAGCCGAGGCTGGGAGGCCTCATAAAACAACTGCCCAGACAGCGTACCCCCTTCAGCATGCTCCCCTTACAACGGGTGCAAGATTTGCACGCGTCCACCACTTGAAAAACATTCTTCCCAGGAGCCGGGGAGGCAGCATATGGACTCCGACTTCCTGATCAAGACAGGATGCGACAGGCTGTGCAATCCATGCGCTTAAATGTTAAATCACAAAATCAATATGGTTCGGATGTCTGCAGCGACAGCCCCATTCTGAAATGCTGCCATCCATTCTTGTAACTGTTGCACGATATGAATGTCCGGGTCACAGGACTTGTAGAAGCCTACAGCGGAAGACGCGTTTTGAAAAGGATCTGGCCGCAATCCTCGTATACGGTGGGCATTGTCAAACGAATGTCCACAGCGCTAAGGCGAGAGCCACATGTTGAGAACGAGCCAGTCTCCATCTTTGTAACTTCCGAAACATGTCAAACGAATTCGCGCGGACCGACAGCGAGGGCTACATGTTGGAAACCACATGGCTTCCAACCTTGTAACTGTTCGAGTTCTTTCAGCTTAAAAAACAAACAAACAAAAACAAAAAAAAAAAAATGGTCTCAGGCGAAACGCCCGGTGTTCGACATGGGTGGGAGGTTGATCTGTAAGAATGGAAGATGGTTTCCCGCCACCCGTGGCGAGGAGGCCGAGGGCGATCCGAACGCCACCCCGACGGTGCACCAGCGATTGAGCGCTGGGCCGCGGCACCGCCGAAGCGGGGGTGATTATGCAGGATCCCGAAACTACGGCACCACCAGATGGTCCTCCAGCAGCACGACCTCTGATGCATCGAAGAAGCCGAACTCGAAGCCATGCGGGTGGCCCACTTTCCTGAATGTGAGGGATCCGTGGGGCCCGCCAAACCAGACGCCGAGCACCAGGTAACAGTCTTGCTCCGAGAACACCCACAAGTTCAGCAGTGTGGACTGAGCGCACCACGTCCGCAGCCGCACGCACCAAGCTGCCCTTGGGAAGGGAAGCCGCGCCACCGCCTGCAGGACGGTCGGAGCGACGATGCTGATCGGCACAGCTGCTGTCACACAACACTTGGTCTACCGTGCTACTCTGCTTTCCGTCGCACCCCACACGAAACTGCACTGGCAGGTACCCCGTGCGAAATGCTTAAGAAATCATGGGTTAAGAAATTCATAGTCTCAGAACTTGAATAAAAACCCAACAGTTCCATTAAAATCTTAAGATTTACATTAAAACGTAGAATAATCGAGACTCTGGCCGAAAACTTAAGTTTTCTTAAGCATCGCCTAAGGTGTACCCATGAGGGTCACCCTTTCCCTCGCGATGCTTCTCGGCCGCCACAAGCACCCGGAGACGATCGCAGCCACCCTGCATACCGCCCAGCTCCGGCAACAGGGTGGTCGTCACCAGCTCGTTGCTGTGCCCGCACAAGCACAGGACGAAAACCAGGGGAACGCCTCGTTGAAAGGGAAGGGCGTCACCAACGGTAGCACCTCAGGGCGAACCTGCCGATGCGCAGCAGCGGCGCCGTCTCGAAGGCCATGCTGGCGTGATTTCGTGCACTCAGGGCCATGGCAGACCAGCTCCATGGGTCACTTGCGCAACTACGCCAGGGACCGTTTTCACGAGACCCAGTCCTGTCCAGTATCAGCATTACGATCTTAGGACCATCACCTCTACATGGGCCAAGAGGGACGCCACACCCAGGTCGCGACCTCGGACGTGCCGTTTGTATGGCAATGCCCACGGTCCATCGCTGCCGGTGGCCCTGTCCCACCAGCCCGAGCTGACGGCGACGAGCGACTGCAAACTGCACCCAGCCAAGGAGCATTAAGATCTTGACCTTCGCGCTCTCCGAATGCAGTGCCGCACATGACGAGAATTATGTCGGGCGTGTCCCCCTACAGGGGGATTTTCAACGAAAAATTCAAAGTAACCCCAAAATACCCCAAGAGGGTCAAAGAATACCCAAAAAATAGTCCCCAGACTATGTTTGGACTATTTTTGGGTCACTTTTTGTGAGTAGTCTTTCTTGTTCGTCGAAAACCCCCCTGTAGGGGGACGGGCCCGACTTCAGACGAGAAGCGCCTGCAGACCCCCTCGCGGTCTGCCTGGGCACCCGGGCCAGCCGCGCAGAGAGAGGCCACGCTCGCGGGAGGGGGGCAGAGCGCGAGGCGCGGGGGGCGCGCGCGGGCGGCGCCGTCGCGCCCCAAAAAGCCGCGAGGGCGCGCGGAGGACTGAGCCCGAGAGCCTGCAGCAGGGGAACGAAATGACCAGCCTCGAACATATCCCTATCCGTATGCTGGGCACCTCCTCGTCACGATGCCCATCTTAGGGGCGCCCTCATTCCCAACCCTCCGGCGTTGGGTTCTCGTTTTGAATAGAGCACTGCTCGCGCGAACCTTCCTTCCTTCCCGTCCCTCTCTTCCCCCCTGCCTTTGATCTCGCCATCCCTGGGGGGGCTGCGATCTGCGAGACTGTCGCCACTTTCGAGGGCTGCTGGGGAGGCCAACAGAGAGGGTACCCACCGCGGATCCAAGCGGGACCTCGCCGCCCCTGGGGGGCTGCGATCTGTGAACCTGTCGCCACTTTCGAGGGCTGCTGGGGAGGCCAGCAGAGAGGGCACCCACCGCGGATCCAAACGGAACCTCGCCGTCCCTGGGGGGCTGCGATCTGTGAAACTGTCGCCACTTTCGAGGGTTGCTGGGGAGGCCAGCAGACAGGGCACCCACCGCGGATCCAAACGGGACCTCGCCGTCCCTGGGGGGCTGCGATCTGTGAAACTGTCGCCACTTTCGAGGGCGCTGCTGGGGAGGCCAGCAGAGAGGGTACCCACCGCGGATCCAAACGGGACCTCGCCGTCCCTGGGGGGCTGCGATCTGCGAACCTGTCGCCATTTTCGAGGGCTGCTGGGGAGACCAACAGAGAGGGTACCCACCGCGGACCCAAACGGGACCTCGCCGTCCCTGGGGGGCTGCGATCTGCGAAACTGTCGCCACTTTCGGGAGCTGCTGGTGGGTCCTGCGGAGTGAGCGCCGCGCGGACCTGAGCGGGACCTCGCCGTCCCTGGGGGGCTGCGATCTGTGAAACTGTCGCCACTTTCGACGGGTGCTGGTGGGTCCTGCGGGGTGAAACACCGCGCGGACCTGAGCGGGACCTCGCTGCCCCTGGGGGGCTGCGATCTGCGAGACTGTCGCCACTTTCGAGGGCTGCTAGTGGGTCCTGCAGAGTGAAGCACCGCGCCGACATGAGCGGGACCTCGCCGTCCCTGGGGTGCTGCGATCTGCGAGACTGTCGCCACTTTCGAGGGCTGCTGGTGGGTCCTGCAGAGTGAGGCACCGCGCGGACATGAGCGGCACCTCGCCGTCCCTGGGGGGCTGCGATCTGCGAGACTGTCGCCATTTTCGAGGGCTGCTGAGGGGCACAGCACAGTGGGTACTCACCGCAGACTTAGATTAGACCTCGCCGTCCCTGGGGGGCTGCGATCTGTGAAACTGTCGCCACTTTCGAGGGCTGCTGAGGGGCACAGCACAATGGGTACTCACCGCAGACTCAGATTAGACATCGCCATCCTTGGGGGGGCTGCGATCTGTGAAACTGTCGCCACTTTCGAGGGCTGCTGAGGGGCACAGCACAGTGGGTACTCACCGCAGACTCAGATTAGACCTTGCCATCCCTGGGGGGCTGCGATCTGCGAGACTGTCGCCACTTTCGAGGGCTGCTGAGGGGCACACCACAGTGGGTACCCACCGCAAACTCAGACTAGACCTCGCCATCCTTGGGGGGCTGCGATCTGTGAAACTGTCGCCACTTTCGAGGGCTGTTGAGGGGCACAGCACAGTTGGTACTCGCCGCAGTTTCAGATCAGACCTTGCCATCCCTGGGGGGCTGCGATGTGTGAAACTGTCGCCCCTTTTCGAAGGCTGCTGAGGGGCACAGCACAGTGGGTACTCACCGCAGACTCAAATTAGACCTCGCCATCCAGGGGGGGGCTGCGATCTGCGAAACTGTCGCCACTTTCGAGGGCTGCTGAGGGGCACAGCACAGTGGGCTTCCCGCACGTCTTTCTCTTGCTCTTCGTTCCCGACTCCCCATGTCCTCTTCGAGCCTGTAGTTGTCGCCCCTCGTTCTTGTATGGTTCTCTTGCGCATCATGCCATAGGCGCGTGTCCCAAGTAGCTTACATATCAAACAACGGATCCTGCAATTTGATTGTCCATGCAAGTTTCGGCCAACTCCTCGTTTCCCATGGTACAAATAGGTTGGGTACGTCACAGGGTAATTGCTTGAGGGCGAAGCCCTAAGATTGTCATCGCCTTTGGGCGTGTCCATCTTAGGGACAGGGATACGTTCGAGGCTGGTAAACAAACAGTGGCATGAACACAAACATAACAACTCGGAGGTCCGCGCGGATTTCTCGGATCGGCGCTGGGAGCGCATGCTCTGACGGAGTCCGCTGCCACCGCCGTCGCCCCACCGCAGGGCGGCAAGGGCGCGCCCGCCTCGGCGCCGAAGCTGCTTCAGGCGAGCGCGCACCAGGGAAGGCAAGCCTCGATCCATCACCAGATGGGAGGCGCCTATGGGCGAGGCGCAACTCGTGATAGCTCTGGCACGCAAGGCCCAGGAGGAGGATCGGAAGGACGAGAGGGAGGGAGAGGGAGGAGGGAGGAGGGAGGACGGAGGAGGGAGGACGGAGGACGGAGGAGGGGAGGAGGGAGGAGGGAGGAGGGAGGAGGGAGGAGGGAGGAGGGGGAGGAGGAGGAGGAGGAGGAGGAGGCCTGGGGGCAAGGGGGAGGGCGCCGGCGGCGGCGGCGGCGGCTGCACTGGGCGCCGCCGAGCGACCTCGCCGGGGAGGGAAGGAGACGCAAGCAGGTCGGTGCCGCGGGCGGGCTGGATCCTGGACGCGGGGGCCTTCTTGCTCTCCTCGTCCTGCTCGGGGGGGCCGCATGGGGCACGGAGATGGCAAGGCCGTCCTCCTCCTCCTCCCCTTCCCCCTGGCCCTCATCTCCTCCTCCTCCTCCTCCTCCTCCTCCTCCTCCTCCTCCTCCTCCTCCTCCTCCTGCTCCTGATCCGGGCCATGAGCCACGATTCCTTCATAACGATCGACCCTCGATACTCCTCGTATCCCCTCGATTTGTGCATTGCGATCGACCATCTCTCCTCCTCGTACCCAACTCTCGGGGACGCGCGAACCCGGGTCAGCGCAAACCCTGGTCAGCCAAGGCCATGTCGCGAACCCTGGCCAGATGTATAGCTGCTCCCCACCACGGGTCAGCGGAAGGAGGGGAGGGGAAGGGGGGAAATCGCGTCCGCGTGGCTCCCACCAACCAGGACCACCTGGGTGGAAATGAAGCCAATTGATTGGCGATAACGCCCGTAACCGGCCGCCCCCCCTTCCCCCCTTCGCCTCCCCACGCCCCTGGTGACCTCACGATTCGCGCCGCACAATCTGGGATCTAGCCATTCCGGCGCTGGCGCGAATCGTCATGTCACGTGAGGGACCCCTCCCCCACCTTCCCCCCCTCCACGGCCACGCCCGTCATGGCCAGGGGATACACAAAGCGGCATCGCGCGGCACGCGAGCCAGGGCTACTCAGAGAAGGAGGAGAGGGGGAGGAGGAGGAGGAGGAGGAGGAGGAGGGGAGGAGGAGGAGGAGGGTAGGAGGAGGAGGAGGAGTAGGATGAGGAGGAAGGAGGCGGGGGGATGAGGAGTGAGGGGGCGGAGGGAGGATGAGGAGGAGGAGGAGGAGGAGAGGGGAGGATGGAAGTGAGGGGTGGGAAAGGAGGAGGAGGAGGAGGAGGAGGAGGAGGGGGAGGACGAGGAGGAGGAGGAGGAGGAGGAGGACATCGGCGGAACCCCGCCAGCGCTGACTCGCGGCACCCGAGCCCCAGACTGCGTTTGCCTGGCGACGGCCCGGGGCCTCGCGGGCCGCCGACGGGGGCGGCCCGCGGCCCTCGGCCCACGGGCGGGGAGCACGCCGGGCGGAAGCCTCCGCGGGCCCCGAGTGGCGGGCGTTGCTGGACGTGCCCCTGGCCCAAGGTGCCCCCAGGAGTTCGAAGAGGGCGCCCACGGCCCCAAGAGCACCCCTATCACCAGGCCTCGAGGGCCCCAGGGGCGCCAGGGTTGGACGACAGGCTGGGGGCACCTTGAGCCAGGGGGCGCCCTGAGCAGGCCAAACCCCGAGAATACCTCCGAGGATATCCGAAAGCCTCCAGAACCCCCCGCAGTCAGGCAGCATCCTGACCCACAGGGGAGCGAGCGAGCAGTGCCTGGGCAGCTGGGGCTTTCTTGTGGGACACCTGAAGGTGCTGCGAGATGGCTTCAGGCGCCGCTGGCGACTACATGGGAATGTAAAGAGCACGCCTGAGGAACTCTGGCCCACTGAGGCCTGCTGAGTCCCTCGTTGGCTCACGGGCAGGGCGGGTATGATTCCCACCAGTCCTTTAGTGCGTGAGTGGTTCAAGGCGTTTCATCTTCAGACCCCCTTCTTCCCCTTCGGGGAGGGGGTTACCCTACCCCTCCCCCCCTCCCCCCTCCCCTTGGGTCTGGAGGGGGGGTTCGCGGGCCGTTGGAGCGTCTAAGACGGCCACGGCGAGGAGGCTAATGTCAGTGATGTTACTTGGATGTTGGCCCCAAATTGGCCTCCCAGGGGGGACGCGAATTGAGCTCCCCCCCTTCTGTGATCGATCTCCTTACATATGACCCCCCATGCTCCCGAAAATGCCCCAAGAGGGCCCAAAGAGGCGCCCCGTCGGACCAAAGAAGCCTCCAAGAGGCCCCCAAGAGGATCTCAAAAGACACCGAAGAGGCCCGAAGAGGCTCCCCCGAGGCACCCAAGACCAAGAGACATCCGATGAGACTCCGAGAAAGTACAAGAGGCCTCGGCGCTTTCTTCTCCTCCTCCTCCTCCTCCTCCCCCTCCTCCTCCTCCTCCTCCTCC